TGTCGAAAAATTCCCTATTTTGTTCATCATCTGATTGGTATGATTTTAAAAAAACGTGATTTTTTTCTACAGCAATGAAACAAGTAATACTGTAATATAAATGGGTTTATGTCTATTGGCTATAGTTAATATTTCGTTAAACGTGTATCTTAATTAGGGATGGCAACGGCCGGTCATGGTCGGTCACAGTCAATAACCGCCAGTTATTGCTCAATGACTGTGGCGGATCATAATGAAATCCATATCAAAATGAAATTATAATATAAATCTCGAAAAATAAAGTTTTTTGGGGTGCATTTTTTAGGAATAGGGGTTAGGGTTAGGGGTTAGTTTTAAAGTAAAGTTATAATAAACAAGTATAAGTAGGTTTTAGAAGGTTAACAGGTTGAGTAGAAAATGTAGATTTCATTTTAAATTATGATCTGCGACATTAACTTTTATTTCCGAACCTCTGCGGAATTATTTAAAAGTTATGATATATATTTCTTAAAGATAATATATTGTATATGATATTGCAGTTTATGATATTTAACACAATCAAATTATTTAATATATACGATAATATAATTTTTAATTACGTGAGATTTTAAGGAAAACTATTGAAGAGCGTGTGGCTTGTTACTAAAAACCTTATAAAATAAAATTTTACCATTTGTAAAATCGCTATTAGAGTGTGAGTGAATTGTCATATTCTTTTACAACGCAAGTTATTTTACTTTTTAGTTAAAATGAAAGAAATTATAATATATGAATAATGCTCGTTGATTGGAATTATTGTAAATATTGATTTATTATTATAACTTTTAATTATCGCTGTTTTTAAAGAAGTTATACAAACAAAATGCGCAATTTATTGGCTAACATTAATCCGAAAACTTTTTCATGCCATACTCGCCGAATAATACCATGCCCCAAACTTACCCTAACTTTCTAACATTTTGGGTTACCAAATATTACGTAATAAATCAAAAGAATTTCCGGGTTTATCACGTTGTAAAAGTGTGAACTGCGTCGGAAAAGTTACTGGGCCGCAAATAAAACAACTCAATACGATACTCAATACCACTAAACTATCCAAACTAGAACACTAAAACTATAATAACAAAACCCTAATATTGGTAAGGCAACGATCGAGGCGTGGAAAGACTTGGTCCGAGTAACTAGGGTGAATTGGGTTTCTAGTAATAGTGCCGGGTTCAGATAAGTCTTCTTTAACCTTCGTTGGGTAGTTTAGTCGCTATTCTTTCTACTTTACTAACACTTGGCTTCTTTCGTTAGCAGGTGCTGCGGCTGGGTCTTGTGATCAATACTAGCCAATCGGAGATGTGGTACAAGGTCACGGTATCACAGGGTCATGAATCAGGAACAATGTCGTTGATCACAAACTTAATCAGGGGGTAATTTTATTATATAAGGACTTGTATTACTAATACAGCCTTTCTTTTACCAAATTCGACAATTTAATAGACGATAGTCACAGGGTCAAGAAAATATGAAACCGACGAACGATTTCTTAACAACAAGGGTACTAAGGCTTTACCGACGAACACTTCTACTCTAATTTCGAAGTTTTTAAAGACTCAAAGGTTATCAGATATGTTTGCACTAAGTTAAACTTTTATTAGAGCGCAAAGGCAGGTCTTTTATACCTTTTTACATTACTAGAGTGTACACTTGAGTAAATTCTACATATTCACTAAATACGACATATTCTACATATACGATATATTCGATAAATGCGATATATACGATATATACAATAAATTCAACATATACGACATATACGATAAATGCGATATATACGATATATTCAACATATTCGATATATTCGATTTTCCTTTCTAACTAAGGTAATGATCTCTGTTTCCTGCCTATCTTGGTTTAACACTATACTAATATATCTGTACTGAGTTACTATAAAGAAAAATAGAAAAAATAAAATAGAGTAAAGCAAAATATAGAAAAAAATAAAAAAATAAAAATCGTTGAATCAACTTTCTAAGGCCTTTCACAACGTGCATAACAGCTAAATTTTATTGGATAGTTTTTTTCAATTGGTATTGAAGCAATTGGAACTTAGTCTAAATTCCATTATTCCAATTGAATTGGATCAACACTGCTAATTAATATTATGCATCATGCAAAATCCCCGTTCACGTCATTAACCCCAGCGATACGAATTTCAGGGATTACGGATTAACCTGTGACGGTTCTACTGCAAAATTCCGACATCCAAAATCTCGACAGGCCATAATACTGACGTCACGCGACGTGACAATTAAAGATTTAAAGTCTGACAATGATTGCTAATGTGATTACTAATCTTTAAATATTAATTGTCACGTCAGAAATTATAATTTACTATTTAAACTTTTTGGATCCCCAATAATTTTCCCGATATGATGTCAGAATGGCTAAATTAGATAAATAATCTGTAATATATTCAAAGGTACGAGCGGTCTTGTTCCCATGGCAGCACTCATATACTAGTTCCAATTCCTATAAAGTAACAAAATCCAAAAAGACACTGCAAATTTGAATTAAGAATCTGGTGTTCGTTTAGATTAATAAATATATCTTTCTCTTTTGATTATGTTTTTTGATAGAATCCGTCAACTTTGTGAAAATTCATTTCCATAGTTTGCCGAAATATAACAGCTCATCAAATAAGTGTCTAGCTGATAGAGGAATTTATTATAACTTATATTCTATTTAAGAGTGCTTGATTGATCAAATGAATGATTGATTAGAAATTGCAATTGTACTTTTGTAAAATAGCTTGTTTCATTATCAATATTGTCTGCAATAAATAGCATTTAACAGATCTATTGAAAATATATCGTCAATAGGTGACGTTGGTTAGGATCTTCAAACCAGCAACTTTTATAAAGGTTCACGTAATTTGTTGGCGCTTTGAAATAGTTTCCTGTATACCTTCCAAAATCCAACTTATTGATTGCCAACATCTGAAAACGGAATTCTTATACTTGTTAGTTCCCACAGTAATTCTCCTAAAATATATGTGACCTTTTTATTACGGGATCTCCATTCATCATTACTCGTGGGTCAATGTATGCCATAATACCACGTAAATCTGAACTTAAAGATGCAGAAGAATCATCTAATTGTTTTGATAATCCAAAATCGGGGATCGTCTAAAGCCAGGTGCATTCACGCGCCTCACAACCAATCAAATCATAAAATTTTAATTTACTCGGATCAGCCCGACAAGACGAGTGTCAAAAAATGTCGGGAAGACAATTTTGCTTATAAGCCTTGCCCTAACCTTAACCCCTAACTAACCCTTACCTTAATTTTAATTAAATATTCAAAAACATATAAACACACCGGACTTCAACCATCCTCAAAAATCGTCAATAAAATCATTCATAACAATAATTGGAATGCTATAAATATTTAAAAGTGTTTATCGAAACTTATTAACATATCAACTCCAGATCTCGGTGAATGATCTTGCATGAATGTAAATAGCTTAAACCAGAAGCTATGTCCACTGCAATATAAATAATTTGAATAGCAGCATTTCATGAAATTTTGAAACCGTTTAGTAGCTGCTTTTTTCGCAAATAGTCACGTAAAGATCCATGATTGGCAAATTGAAACACCGACATAAATTAATTGGTTTTGGGATCTATCCCTTAATCTGTAAGCCAATTAGGGGCAAATTTGCCTCTAATTTTTTAAATATAAATACTTATGATTTAACTTTTTAAAAAATTAAAATATTTAAAAAAATTTTTTTTTAACTAATATTTTAACATATACATTATATAATTATAATATTTGAATTTAATTTATAAGAAAAAAAATTTAGGTTGTATATTAGTTTAAAATTAGTAATTTTAGAAAATTTTTACTATTTAAAAAAATTAGTTACTTATTATTAATTAATTTGTTATTCTTTAAGTATCTTATTTTGATAAAATAGAATTTAATAGAATTTATTAAAAGAAACAACTTTTATTATTATAGTTTTTATGATTTTGTAGTAAAAATTTGGACTTGTATTAGAAGTGAAAAAATTTTTTTAGCTTCGGGAACATATAAATTTTATAAAATTTAAACTAAATTTAATAGTAAAATTTTTCAAAATTTAAAATTTAAAATTTAATTATTTAAAAACTACTTAATAAAAATAAAAAAATTTTTAATAAAGTTAATAGAATATATATTAAAGAAAATTTTTAATGAGAATTATAGACCCCATATTATTAATAATTTTTTGAGTAATTTAAAAAATTATAAAGTTTTAGTCAAATTCAGGGCAAATTTGCCCCGAATACAGATTAAGGGATAATACTGATTGCTGATTGGCTGATTTCAGAATTTTCTTTTTTTTTATTATTATATATTTACTAATTTAATTCGTAAATATATAATTTATTTATTTATTAATTTAAATATATTTAAATATATTTTATACAGTATTAATTTATTTATAAAAATTTTAAAATTTTTACAACCTTCCCGTGGCTTTGCCACTGATTAACGAAAAATCATTCGGCTAATTTTTATCAAGTGTCCCAGAATTTATAAAACAGTTGTAATTATTCTTTTTTTTTTTTTTTTTTTTATAACGAGGACACTAGGGCTTCGTCAACTATAGCATCTATAAATTTTGAAATTTCACGGATCCGGACCGGACCCGGATCTAAGTGATACGAGTTCGGACCCTAACTTTAGATCCGAATCAATGTTCGGACCGGGTCCGGATCTTTAAAAATACCCGCCCGGTCCGAATCATGCGGAACACTACCAACTAAGATATCACATTATAAAATTATAAAAGGAAGGTGATGTGCGAATAATCCCAGCTAATAGAAATTTGGGGGAAAATTAGTGCAGTAAGGTGGTTTTTTTTTATGTTACACCTGATTCTGAAATTCAATTACAGGGGGTGAACAATTTTTTGTGGGAGAGCTAGGTTCATCCTGTCGTAAAAAATTTATCATTGGTTTCTGAAATTGTAAATATTGATAATGTCAGTTTTTCTATTAGAAGAAGTTTTAATACCTACTCTTGAGTTCCTCGAAGACGACATTCAATCTTTACATTCGTGCTTATTAGTTAATCGTTTTTGGTGTCATTGTGCAGTTCCCATTTTATGGCATTGTCCATTTGAAGATCTTTGGTCTGGATCGCATTTCAAACTTATTAATAGCTATCTGGAGTGCCTGGATGAGTCCTCAAAGGATTTGTTAAGAGAATTTTTTTGTGGTATATTTCCTACAGCAACTTTGGATACACAGCCTGCTTTTGACTATATAAAATTTTTACAAAAACTTGATTACCAAGCATTGCACCAAGCTATCGAATCTTGGTGTAAATACCAAGGTATTGATACATACCAAGGTATTGATGCCCATGTTATTAATCAAGATTTAGAACCTGATATGGTGCTTTATCCGACCAGCATAATCTTGGATCTTTTAATCGACCTAATTGTGGAGCAGTCGATAAACCTTTCAAAGCTCTCCATGTCTGTCGTCTCCCATCGTGAAGGCGAATATCTTGATTTATATCGATACGAAGAGTTTGCTCATACATTCTTGCCAAAGTTGCAGTTTTTGGATTGTGATGATTGCATTCCAAGAAACTTGTCATTCGCCTCACGGATTGCTACAAACCTAAACAAATTAAACATTGAATGTTCTTGGGGTAATGATGTGGAAATATTTTTACTCCTTCAATCACAAAAAAAATTGCAACATTTGACAGTCATTAAAAGATGGCCACACTTAGATAAAGATGCATTAGAGAAAAAATTTTTATCTAATTCGCTCACTAGAGTAGATTTCATAAATAACAGAAACCTGATCGATAATGGAGGTCCTTTATGTGTACTATCTGTATGCAAAAATCTGGAAATATTACGATTCGACAATTGGATGCCTTTCCGCGAAGATGATCTCCTCACATTGGCGACAGCATCCTTTCCACATTTAAGGAAATTGGTATTTACTCGATGCAAGCCGCCACCAATCGCTTTAGCGACGATGATTACAACAAACGGACTCAGTTTACGAGAATTCATATTGACTTGGCAATGCAACGAGGGAGTTGGAAAACGATCAAATCCGCGACATACAAAAGTTATACAGGCGATTGCTTACAATTGTCCAAACCTTACATATCTTGATGTTCCGATAGAAAGCAAAGACTTGGAGGAACTTTACCAGCTCTTGTGTAATTGTACAAAGCTTGTGAGCTTGACGATTAACACGTCTGCTAATGATAATAAAGAAGATTTTTATTATCCTGTTGACCATTTCCTGCCAGCGATGGGTTTTGTTATTCCACAAACGTTAAGTCGATTAAAGATCTTTGCACCTTGGAAATTTTCAGCCGAGTCTTTACGGAAATTCTTGTTGGAAACATGTAAAGCTCAGATTAAGTGCATGGGATTATACAGATGGATAAACGATGAACATCTTGCGGTTGTTACGCGATACGCGAAAGAACGAAAATGCTTAAGAGTCTTGATTTTGCATTGGTGTGAAACAACATATCCAATAAGACAAAAAGCAAGAGAAGCTATTGTGGATTTACAAGTTTTCGATCCGATTGGTCGCCGATTAGAGTAATTAATTTCTCATAAGGCTATCTAATATTGATAGTTAAAATATATTGTCATCGGTATGGGAGATTCAAGATACGAAGCAAAAGTAAACATAATTAATAATCAAATTATTTATTTAAACGTTTTTGCACTTTATTGATAAATTTGCTTTGCAATTTAGGTAAACCTGCGTAATTAACGGTTTTTATATGGAAATTTACTGATTATATTTTGTAATTACAAGTTATAAATAAAATTACAAAAAATAGCAAACCAATTTTTTTTGTAATTATTTGTGAGCATTGTAGAGGATATTACAGTCCTTTATGGTTCTAAATATTAGCCTTTTTTTTACTTTTTCGTCACATTGAGGTTTATGTTATTAAATATTTTTAAATATTTAATTAATTTTTAACGTTGTGCATAATGAGCGCATTTATAATATGATAGTATATTAAGCTACGATCATTTATTTAATAAAGATATGCCAATCATTTCTTTGGGAATATCCCAGCCAAAATCGTAGGGGCTACGTCACATAATGCCCCTTTAGCAGGATTCTTAAAAGAATGTTTCTTAGAAGTCATTATGAATGGAACTAAAATTTTGATATATATTTGGTTAACAGCGGCTAATCTAACTGTTTTAATTATCGAATAACTTACCGGGATTACAAGTATGGGCTGTATGGGGTTGTCCATGTTCATCTTGCATTTGCTCAGCATTTCCATGATCTGAGGTCACAAAAAGAATATATTCATGTTTTTGACAGGCATCATGAATAATTCCAATGGCTTTATCCGTGATTTCAACGGCCTTAACTGCAGCAGAGTATATTCCAGTATGTCCAACCATGTCCGGATTCGCAAAGTTGCACATAACAAACGGGAACATTCCACTAGATATTTGCTCGGAAACTTTTTCTGCAATTTCAATAGCAGACATTTCAGGTTTGAGATCATACGTGGCAACTTGAAGAAGGAATCAAATCACGATGCTCAAGTTCAAATTGTTTCTCAACGCCACCATTAAAAAAGAACGTTACATGTGCATATTTTTCCGTCTCTATTGCAATATTATATGTTAGAATAAAGAAAAAAACAACCATAATGGTTTAAACTTTGTGATTAAGTGATAACTTGAATATTCAATTAAGTATTACCGGCAACATGCATTGAGGAATTTTTTGTTTAGCGAGCCACTCAGCCATGACATTATCCATTGTTTGCGGAGGAAATGTAACAGGAAACGGGAAATCAGTTTTGTATTTTGTCATGCAAGTGATGTCCTAAACAGTTTCGACAAAAAAAAGAGGTATAATCGGTATAATCGGTATAATCTTTCTGGCCCGTGATTAAATTATTTTATATCAGATTATTATGTTACAAGATTTTTGGGAACTTCAATTTCAAATGGTGGAGGAGAAATTCCAAATGTCTGAACAATTTGACGCATTCGATCGGA